TTAATCCTCTAACCAAGATGACCAGAATTTGGGCTGAAATATCCTTGTTCGAAATATCCTTAGTCATGACTTATGTGTTACCATTTGAATCCATGCAGCAAATTTGATTGAGATATTCATATATATTAATTCATACTGGAATTTCTTAGTTTGTCTCAGTTATAAATCATATATTCTGGAAGCCTTAGTATAAACTGACCAAAATTGTATTAAAATTCAACATGTTCTGAAATACAAAACAATTCTTGATAGTGGATGAGCCATTGATTCTTTACCACTGTTGCTTAGTGTATAATATAGTTAGCCTGAAGTGCTCTAGCTTCTGTGTTTTGTTTTATTTAAATGTTTTAAGATGTTCAGACGTAAATGACTGGCAGCAGTCTCTGAGTTTATGACATTGCCAGTACAGTGAAAGATGACTGCTGTGAACTGTACTAGCCTGGAGCCACTTTCTCCCCATGCGGCTTTGGGTATTAAACAGGGAGAGAGAGGGGGAGAGAGATGGAGACCATGTGGTACGATGGATTTGAATGCACCAAGATCCCTGCAATTGACTTTCAACAGGCCTCTCCAGCTTTCTTTATGGCAACAGGCGCAATCAAGCAATTGGTTTCGCTCCAGCCATAATGCCCATGAATGCTGAGTGAAATGGTGGGAGCCCATTATGGCCTCAATGGCTGACAAGACACTTAGCACTCCTGAGAACTCACACGCCCCCTTTCATCACTGGCCTAAGGCTGAAGCTGGTGACCAGCTGGGGCTTTACCCATCGCACACACACATACAAAACAGCACCTGCTTGGTATTAAGCAGTGGCTGGGACTCCCAGTGTTGCCCTCAGCTGGCGAAGATAAGCAGCCGGGAGAGACAGCTGTGTGCTGCCTGGCTGTGGAGATTTGGGGTGGATCTGGGAGAGGAAAAGCATTGGCTTTGTACAGATTATCCGAATTAGAATGTGAAGGTATGAAGTCCATGAACAGAAGGCTTGTGCTGTCTGTGAGATTTGCTCTGAAAATTTCACGGCTCTCAGTCTTTTGTTAGTGTTGCTGAGTAGTGTGGGCAGCTCAAAGCTATTATAATTCAAGTTGCCTTTACCTCTTTAATCACATTGAGAAATGATAAAACAGGAAAACCTACCCAGTTTTGCCTAATGAGCTATTAATATAAGTGAATACCAAGCATGAGTATGTGAATACAAAATAAAGACAAAAGCTGAATTGAGAAAGATAAGAGGAATTTTATACCTTGGAGCTTCAGAGCACTCTCTATGAAATGTGACTTTGATTTGTTTGGCTGCCTCAAAAAATGTATATAAAGTGCAAAAAAACCAGATATGGAAGGGGAAAAAGAATGGCAATACAAGAAATAGAACATTTTAAAAGTCTTAAAAAGTAATTTTTTACGAATGTTACAATCCATATCACAGGCTTTTTGTTATTTGTATTTTTTCATGACATGTTTTGGTAGTAGGGGCATGGCCAAGTTTTGAAGCAGGGGAGGAGTCATAGAGAACAAGCAGGTAATGAGTGATTGTCTACACCTGTGGGCACTTAATGAAAGCCTATTTATCTGCTCTGTATGTTGCAGTACTTTACAGAGAACCTGACCTGAGAGAGAACAATGGTCTAAGAAAGTGGCTTACTATGAACATGTCCTGCTGTCTGTCTTGAATTTATGTTCGGACTTTGAGGGTTTTTTGTTTGTGAACAAATAGTGCTAAAAACATAATTTTGGATATAATAAAGGGCATCAGCATTGCTGTTTTGGACAAAGTCTGCCTTGAGTGTCCTCATTCCTCCCCCTCACCAACCTGGGTGTCAGACAGGTTTATATACTTTACATTAAGATGAGTTAAATACACCTATTGAGTTTTAATTTTGCATGTTTACTCCAAAATAAGATTAAATGTAGTTTAATTTTTATATACATATGTCTGGTGGACTGAGAAAACCCATTGAATGTCATTGCAAAAAACAGCCAAAATTTTTTTTCCTGTATTTTACCAAAGCAACATGTAAATATTTTTATTTAGGCTACTTTCTAACCTTGCTTTGGATTTTTTCCTGCAAAGATAACGTGCAAGGAGCCAGTTTAACAAGTACAGCAGTAAAAACAGTCAGTCTGCCTAAAGACCTTGCTAGTTAAGTGTGATTTGCACACATTGGATAGCTATATGCCATATTGAAACAGACATACACCTAATCACTTCATTCCATGATCAGACACCCACTCTCGTACTGTCGATGATATGCCTACACCATCATTGCCATCAAAACAGAGAAGTGTGTTTACACACTCTGTAAAGAAAATAAATCTAGCCAAAAGAACAGATCTCACTGAATTAAACAGTGATTATTTTCCCACTGATATTCGTGTGAACAAAGATCAGTAGTGTGATGAGGTGGATCAGTGGAGATGAGAGGCTTGTGGTTAAATGCTGCGAGTGACTTTTTCCTCAGGTGATCAGAGAGAGAATGGTGTTGGTGATACTGATAATGTTGTTTTCCCACAAGTAGATTAGCTTGTAAATATAGAGGTAGGCAGGGCTTCTTTCAGTGGAACTGGAATTAAATATTTAAATGCGATTTTCTCCTTTTACACTTTTGGGAGCAACTAGATTTTAAATGCTAGTACATTTATACATATCCACTGCTTCTAACTACACTGTGTGCACAATTATTAGGCAAGTGAGTATTTTGACCATATCATCATTTTATCCATAATTTCCAACTCCAAGCTGTATAAACTTGAATGCTTATTGGAATTAATGCATATCAGGTGATAGTATTTGTTTGTAGGGTGTAGGGTGTGGCCTAAGGAGATCAACACCCTATATCAAGGTGTGCATAATTATTAGGC